GGCGGCGGTTCCCCCAGCAGCGCTTCTCGGCCAACGGGGCCAACAGCACGCTCCCTTTCTCTTTTTAAGAGGAAAACACAGCTTTAACGAGGACAGGCTTCGGAGAAAGCCTTAAGAGGCTCCCAAACTGCCCACCAGAGTTAGGAGGAAAGCTGCGTACAGCTGGGTTTTTAAAAAAAAAAAAATCCACCTTTTCCAGACTGCCATATTGGTGCTCTGTTTACAGCTGTATTTATTTCCTCAATTGTCAAAAAAACCCAGACATCAGTAAAGTCATGCTTAGTTGTAGCAGCACAGCATTCAAATTATTAAAGAGTCAGTGACGTTTAAGGTAAAAAAAAAAAAATCCACCTTTTCCAGACTGCCATATTGGTGCTCTGTTTACAGCTGTATTTATTTCCTCAATTGTCAAAAAAACCCAGACATCAGTAAAGTCATGCTTAGTTGTAGCAGCACAGCATTCAAATTATTAAAGAGTCAGTGACGTTTCAGGTACTTTTCCTTCTGAACTACAGAAAATTTACCTTTTTAAAGTAAATTAAATGTTACACCAAATTCCACTCATATCCCTTTAAAACAGCTACTGCCATGCTGCTTTTTCCTTAGCGAGCCGACCTGAGTTACCACAAGGAAACCAAGCGGTTACAGACTCCACCACTGCATCACTTACCAAGCGAGGCGCAGTAGGGACAGGGGGAGAAACCAGAACCAAAATTGTTCGAATCTTTTCGTACTTTGTTGCAGCGGTGAAGCATTTATTCAAAAATCTTGTACTTGAGCAGATTGCAGTATGCAACCGAGATCAAGAAACAGGGAATATAATCAAGAGCAAAATTCATTAAAGACACAGCTGTCAAGCCCCTTGAAGACCGTGTCCTACCATCTGGGGCTCACCTCTCACGCTGAGCCCAGTCCACTCCTGGCAGCTTTCAGCCAAGGTTTCTACCGGGCTTCACCCGCAAGATTCCTCTTGCGTCACAACAGTAAAGGTGCTGGAAGCCACGGTATCGGGCCGCACGCATACAGCGAACGAGCAAACTGCAGCAGCAGCCTTTGCGGAGAGTTTTAAAAAAAAGTCCAAAGCAGTAACTAACCACTGACCCTCCCTCCTTGTCGCAAGGCTTGGTCAGGCACAAGGCGTTCTGCACGCTTGGGATGGACAAGAGGAGGAAGATTGTTCCTGCAGTAGGTCCTCTGCCTCTCGCCAGCCCTTCTGATGTTTCTTTCGCCTTCCATCCATTTTTTGGAAGACGCCAAGTTGAAGGACAGAAAGCGCAGGAGAGGTGCGTCCCAGGTCAAAGAGAACCCAGGCCTGGGCACCGGCATACCGGAGAACTCAGAAGCGGCAGTTACTGTGGAAAGACGCTTTTCTTTAGCGACACGTAAAGCTCCCTGGACACTGGGTCGGCCTCCAAGGCACGAGCAGGCAGCCTGGGCTAACTGCTGGTTCATTCAGAACAAACGCTGCTTCATGGTACAGCAGGGAAGTGGGGTCATTTCAGCTCTCTCCTCGGCTCTCTGCCAAAACTGCAGGCAGGCAGCAGGACTGCAATACCTCAAAGTGCTATTGTGAACTGGCAACACAAGTTCCCCCAGAGACACCGTTTCAGTTGGGGAGGTACTAGAAAAATTCACAGCCAAATCCCTGTGCCGATTCTCTCAGGGCATCTGGGCTGCAGACAGATGTCCAAGCGCTGTGTATCCCACGGGTGCAAATAAGTTATTTCCAGACACGGAGAGCAGAAAGGTGGCCTTACTTCAGGTCCCTTTGGTCTGAACAGATTTTACTCCACGACCAGGACTAAGCATCTCAGCCACCCCAAGCAGCAGCCATTCAGAGTTAATCCACTCCCCTCTCTAAGAACTGGATTTGTTTTCCCCGAAGTTCATCCCATTCACCCACTTTCACACACTACGCCCAGTCAGAAAAACAGCCCGTCGGGATATTCCCTCCCTGTGGTTTTCAGGGCGGCTGCAGACTCGGGTCATACAACACTAGTCTGAGAAGAGAGACAGCTTTTAAGCCCAACAGGCCAGCCTAAGATGGTTTCTCAGAGGATCTGAGATCTAAGCCTGATTTAATTTGGCAATATATGGGCCACCTCTCCATTTATAACATCATTTCTCTGGCCTTTCTTGAACAGAAGGTGGACCAGAGCAGGTTGCAGGGGTAAGAGGTTAATCCCAGCAGCACACAGCATCTGCTCCCATTTAATTCAGGCCTATACACTGGTATCTTCCACATTCAGGGGCACAAGATAGTTACTACCTGCGTCTACCAGAACGGTTGCTCTCTCGGCTGCGGATGAGCGTCCAGCTAGCAAGTGCTAGTTCACAGCATAGCACAAAGCAGCTCTGCTGGCTACTGGCAGCAAGGAACATCCTGGAGTAATCTAGTTGCTACTCAGCTGTTAGACATGCAGCTAGTCACTAGACAAGTTCCTTCTTCTCAGGATTTTGTGCAAGCAGACAAATTCCTTCTTCAGCCTTGTAGTACTAATACAAGTAACAGAGATCACAATTAACAGCAGTAAGCAGGTACATGCAAACAGGCTAAGTTAACAGTGAAAAGGTATAAGCAACAGTGCAATCTCTAAGCCAGCATGCTGCCTGGAAAAGTTACTGTAGTCTATGAGAAGACAAGTCAGAGAAGAGAAAAAGCCTACAGAACAGCTGGACAGTCGCACAGTCCTGTTTCTAAAGCCAGGCCACACAGCATATTTAATAAACTAAGCCCTTAACTGGTGGTAGCAGAGCAGGTCCATCACTGGCCTTAGTGGAGACAGAAGTGACAGACTCAGAAGAGTTTAAGTAGCAGCATGGAAAAATTTAAATCTTCAGATGGCAATTTAAGTTACGTGCATTTTGTCTCTGCGTTTTAAATGAAGACATCTTGGGTCCCAGTCCCACTGTCTGCATTCACAGTGGGCTCCTATAAAAATAACAAGAGCCTTTTTTTTTTTTTTCTTTTTAAGGCTGCAAGGCTTGACTCTCCCCTACCCCAGCCTCTGAGCCACGTACCAACACTTGTAAGATGATCCATGTGTGACAAATGTGACAGTTTGAGAGTCAGGAATAGAGGGATAAATATTCATCATATAAATATGCTGTAGAACATCTCAACAAGGGCAAAGTGCTTTTTTCCTTAATTAAAACAAAATAAAAACCTAAATATGACTGTCCTAACCACAACAGAATGCTTAACTCCTAAAACATCTGAAGAGCCTAAGTTACAATGGAACTGACATTTAAAGTGATTCAGGCAGAGTGCTTAGTCCTTCGGGACCCGGAAGTTATCCTTCTCTTTTCTGATGGCTCCCATTGTTCGGATAGGGTCAGTCTCCCCAGCGTGCTGCTGAACTGTCTTCTCCCTACCAAAACAGAACACCAAGGACAGTAAATACACATGCTGCAAGGTGAACATCTCATCGGCAAAGTCACCACTATCTCATTTCATCTGCATCAAGGGGAGATTTTGCATTTAAGATGAAGGACTCAGGCTTTGCCAACAGGCTTATCAGCTCCCTTGATTTAAACAATCACGGGCAACAGAGGCTGCAAATACCCTTGAAGGGCATCTTTCACTGCACCTGTCTGCCGAACTCAGCACGACAAAGGAACGTAATCACACAGTAGAATATAGCCTGTTGTAGCTCCTGAGCCGAGACCCCAGCACAGGCAGAGATGCTCATCAAAACTCTTCAAATTCTACTGGAATAAGCCTCTGCCAGGACAGCGAGTATATTTTACCAATTTATTCTTGTACCATATTTACTCCTGGAATGCAGATGTTTTAAGGAATGTCTTGGCAGCATCCAAACAGAAGCACGTGATGCAGGATAGCAATTCACTCTCATAGTTATTTTTTGCAGACCTCATCCTCCCTACACACACCCACACCCCAAGCACAAGACAGAGGAATCTGTCCCACAATCCCTCCCTACCTCACTCGCATGAAGGGGTTGTATGTAAACTCTTCTGCAATTGTGGAGGGTATGGTTGGTTCACCACTGTCGTATTTTGCCTGCAACAAGGGGAGAGATTTCTGCTTGATGAGAAATGTTTGGGGGAACAAGAAGGGTCCCAGGTATGAACTATGTAGCAGGCTTAATGCTGCATCTAATTACTTGAACCTCTCCCCAGGCCAGGCCTTTCCCAGGGCCATGCAGTCAGACAAACACACAGGTGCACACAGAGGGACACGGGTCTTAGCCTTCCGGGGCAGAGCTCATCCTCCCAGATGGATGTGGAGGGTCAGCCTGTACTTATACCAAGAAATTCCCAGAGATGGTTATAGCTCCACAGGATAGCAAACTGTCCTCTCTGGGACACACACAAACCCTGCTCCCAAACACACTGCCCCCTTGAAAGCACGAGCTACTGCTGCTTCTGGCTCTTACTACGCTCTTTTTCCCTCCCCTCAGCCTCTCTTTTCTCTCATGCTGTGCCCTCTCCTCTGCCTTCCCAGAGAGGCTTTACCTCCACAAAGACATCCAGCGAGTCTAGAGAAAGGATGAACCAACTTACCTTGGCCCAAGCAAGCTTTTCTTGGATAGCAACGTTATTGGGCTCAACATGTCGCGCAAATTTGAGATTGTTGATGGTGTATTCATGACCACAGTAAACTCTCTAGGAAGAGAAACAAAGAGTTATGCAGGGCTCTCGAGAGGTGGACTGCCAGGCACTATCATCAGTGTTATGGTACAAAGCAGGGCACAGAGTCAACCCTCCAGGATACACCATCCTCTCCATGGGAGACATGCACAGGCAAAGTGCCAGGTGTGATCAGCCAGACACTGGGTGCCAAGTTAGTGGCAAGTCTGATGAAAGAACCCAAGCGTCCTTGCTCTCTAGTCTTTGTTTTAATAAATAGCCTCTACTCTTTCCCCACACAACAAAAATGTATTTGGGGTAGGTATTTATTTCTCAAAGGATTCCAGCTATTCTGCATCAAAGACAGCCCTTGATGTAAGCATTCATTCCTTCAACACATGGGAAATTCTATCTTTGAACAACAGTATTATTAGGAAAATAGTTTCTTATGGTGTCTGTAGTACGTTTTGGCTAGTTAACCTACTAGCACAAAAGGAGTTTCATACCGTTTCAGGTTCCAAGCTGCCCAAAATCTCAATCAGCGCTCTGTACATTTCCTCCGGAGTTCCCTCAAAGAATTTCCCACAACCAGCCACAAACAGCGTGTCACCTGAGAGCGAAGCATAACAGGGCATCAGGACCGGACAAGGCTCCTGACACCAAAGACGAGCAAACGCTCCCCGAGGGCTCAGTCCCGCCATTGCTCAGTCCTTGCTGCAGCTCACGTTGTGCTGCAACTAGCCAGACGGTACAAGGACTTTGCAGCACTGCTCCTACTGGTACAGGGACACCCAGTCTATGCCTCTGCCCCACACAGGCTCAATGCTACATGAACCCACATGAGAAATGCCTCTCACCCACTCTTAACTTCTAATGCAGAAAATCCCACCGCCTCCACAGGCGAACAATCCCTAGCTGTGAGGCAATCTCCCTCGCCGTCCCTTCTTCAGTGGACGAGGAACACTGATTCTCTTTGCTATGAACTTGAACAAAGATAGAGGCATGTGTGTACTTTCAGTTTCTTCTGCATTTTCTCCTCAGTGCTCCCTAAACCTCTGCTCAAGCAGTTACTTCTTCTAGACACCAGCGGGTCCAGACTCTGGGGAACACTCACCAGGAGACAAACGATATGGCAGTCCAGGAAGACTAAAAGAAGTCTCATTTAAAGGGTAACCCTACTCTCCAAAATAGGAACCAAACCTAGACTACCAGAGATGGAGCACCCATCCTGCCGTATTTCCCCCCCTTTCTGTTCTCTCAATTTTGTAATGGACACAGGTACAGATATATGGAAAAGCAAACAGTCTTTGGAATCAAGACACAGGTTGGCCTGAGAGCCGGGGGGGGGGAAGAGGGTATACAAAAACCGTCTCTCGTTTCAGACAAGAAAGTATTAAAAGTAGGACTCATCCAGGGCTCTTTCTAAACGTTGCTTGCAGGGTGTCCGGCAATGCCTTTACAAACCCAGAAGGGTTTCAGTAGGTTTATCTACAATTACTATTTGGTAGCTCTTGCTAAGGGGACAAGGTAAGGAAGTCAGTCAGCCCCAGTTGTAATAAGGAACAAATACACATGCAGAGTCAGGAGCACCCAAGCAGAGGAATAGTCCATTTCTTTGTGACATAGGCTGCAGGCGATGTAACCTTCCAACTCCTCACCTGTAAAAACAGCAGGTGGCTCAGAGCTATTTGGCTTAGTCACATAATAACAGATGTGTCCAGAAGTGTGACATGGCGTACACAGGCATTTCACGTTAAGAGATCCCACCTGAGAAGAAGGCAGAAGACTAGAGTTTAAGCTACTGTTTGCCAGCATGCGTATGATTAGAAAAGAAATCTCCACTATTACAATTATCTAGTAGTCCTACAGGCAAATTCTCAAAGTTGGCCAGTAAGTCTTGGCTCCGTTCCCTGGACAGTCCAGCAAAAAGAGTTTTACGGTGAGGACTTGGAAGGGAGCCGTTTCCTCCTAGCTGGTGTTGTTACCAAGAGACCTGCCAGATTCTTTAATTTACATGCAGAGTGACTCAGCATTTGGTTGACAGCAAGAGCAACAAGAGCAAACAGATCCAGAGCAATACAAAACCCTAAACAAAGTTAATCAAGTGTAAAAAGCAAAAAAAAAAAAAAAGAAAGAAAAAAAGAGGAGCTGAAGGGAAGAAGTGGAGGACACTCAGCAACAGGGAGGGAACTACACACACTCATTAGGCTAAAGGGACCATTCCCCACAGCTCCGATTTGCACATCTTCCCATGTGCTTCTGTGCTCCCTTCTGTGCTGCTGACCCCCTGCAGGTGCACTGCAGGACTTGCAGTGACATTCATGCCAGCCTGCACATTTCACAGCAGTTTATGTCATCTGCCAGCCCACCTATAATTAAAAAGCTATGTTCCAACAAGGCTTGCTGCTTTAGCTCTGGAAAAGCAAGGCAAGCAGCTATCACTGCTGGCACACTTGCTCTCCACCCTGTATTCTCCACCACGATTGGGAGAGGACCACTTGCATTTGCTCGGTATTAACCGGGCTAGAAGGAGAACGCAAGCCCTGCCCTTTCACGCCTATGTTCTGACCTCCCCAGCAAAGGCAGCTGTCAAACAGCAGCTGGACACCTCGCATGCTGGGCAATACAGATGTGTAAGCCATACCAACGTTCTCATCAACAAAGTATCACCAGCCAAAAGGAGGCAGAGGGGTTACAGTTCATAGGGTTGGAAGAGCCAAAAAGCTGCCATTAAACCATCAACTGCTTCCAGGAGATGTTAAGAAGGTAAAAGAGCTGCAACCACAATACTAATGCAAGTTGGACTGCACTAGTCCATCACTAAAGCTGTTACACAAACGGAAGATGCCCCCAACCGAGTCCCGCAGCTCACTCCCTTTACCTTGAGTGATGTAAGGTGCGACACTTTCTGTGTTAGCGCTCCAACTCTGCTGTCTCCCCCATAAACACGCAAGCCCGTCTCCATCTTGACAAGCTTTTCATTTCCTCCAGCATGGTCCCTGGAAGGTTAAAAAGATAGCTTTGGGCAGGGATGAAGACAAATGTCTTGCAACTCAAATTGCAATAGTAACCTCCAGGTGATCATTTCTGATCAGCTAGTCTCCCAGCATCCACACATCTAACCCTGTCCTCATAGCAAAGGACATGCCACATCTCAGCACCAGTGGAGATAGTTTCTTTCAGTGCCATTTACACAGATTCCAGCGTTGTAGAGCAGCAAATTCAGGAAGGATTTCAAGACGTGACCTTGGTCAGCAGCTCTCCAAGAACACCCCTTGAGTTCACCCCTAACTGGGGAACTCTGGCTTTACGTACTTATATCAACTCCCCACTAAGTAGGAGAGACTGTGAGCAGTGAGAGACTCTGATAAATGGAGATATGGGTAATTCCCTGTCCCAAAAGATACTGGGGAGCAGGTGAACAGATGCCCAAACAGCTCAGCATTTACTCTCAGTGCTGGTCCTGCCTGGTTGTGGCTGGCTCCCAGATGACTCCACTATGACCCATGGGAGGGGTTAGTCAGGTTCAACGTTGCATAAAGTGCTAGAGGAAAACGTTCATTTTTACCTCCCCGGCAGAGTTAATCTGCAATCTAGGTAAACCTCCCACAACAGCTGACCGTGAGTAGCATGCCTTACCAGCATGTCCTAGCAGTTCAGGGCAAACGTGCTCCCTCCTGCAGTCCTTCTTTCTCACCTACCACCACACACACATTTCACTAACCAGCTGGAACAAGCCAGCATTTTAAAGGTTAAAGGCACTGACACAGAGAACCCACAATATAGACAGCGTGTCAGTTCATAGCAAGAATTACTCATAAGAAAGCTTGGCTCAACTCCAGGCACAGGAGGACTTTCCCATCTTCGCTGTGTACTTAGTTATTTTGTACTGTTCCTCTGCACTTCACTTCCTCATGTGTTCACTGTGCCTCCACAGGACTGTCCTTCCCCAGAGCTATTCTGTGGTTTCAAACACAAAACCACCAAGACGGACTACTTGTGTGTCCAGTCTATTAGCAACCTGGACATCTTTTAGGGAAGATTTTGGTGTAAGCATCAGCTTCTTAAAAGCAGCCCTTCACCAATCACACCCCTCTGAGTGAGAGAATCTGTTCCTTTAACTCACAAACTATTTCTCCACTGTGTTCCAGAAAGCCTGTGCTAACACCGAATTAGCCGTAGCGCCAAGTTACCTGGTCAGACAAGCAACTGTCACAGCAATTGGCCTCCAAGGGAGCACAACAGTGGGCTGATCCAAGCCACTGTCTCCCCAATTACTCCTCCCCCTCCATTTAACAAGCACTTACACTAATCCAAAACAGCGGTGCGGAAGTGAATGGAACATGCTGTTCTGGTGCACCAGATGGAAGAGGAAGGGGATGTTATGCTCCAAACCCAGACCTGCCCTGAACACCTATGGACCTATGTTCTCAGCGGTCCCTCTGGGTATGCTGGTATCAGACAGCCCAGGGGACACTTCCTGAGCTCTGGCCCTTCTCCTCACGCTGAAGTTCCGGCTTAGAGAAGACAGATCTGATCTGGATGTGCAATAGTTCTTGTCCGTTTGTGTTTATTCAGAGGAAATAGGGATCTCACTACAGCAGGTAAGTTTACCAGTGATGGTGTGTGGTCAAGACAGCGGTCAGCTTCACGCCATGCTTTTTGACTGCATCCAAAACCTGCAGGCACAGGACACAGCAAGAACATTTCAGCTCACATAAAATGACTTAACAGCACACGTTGTGCCTAGGATGCAGCAGGCACCAGCACTACAAGGTTTGAGAGAGCCACGATCCACATCTGAGCTCCCCAGCGACTACGCAGAGAGCTCATCTCTCTCCAAGGAGGGGTTACACATCAGAACATGAGGTCTCTGATCTAGCTAGACTGCACCTAGGCCCCCAGTCCCATTTCCTCTGTTCTGCACCAGAGCAAATCAAGGAAGGGGAAAAAAAAAAACAAAAACACCCCACCACAACAACAGGTTAATAACTCTTGAACTCAGGGACAGGCTGTCCAAGCCCAAAAGAAAACAGCCTATGAAGCCTTGTCCACAGCTATGGATGGCCGGTATTTCCTGCCTTTCCTCCAAGCCTGAGTCAGACCTGTGACTAATTCTGCCTCTGGCATACACAGCGGCCTGGAAGGATCTCCCAGACTGGTAGAGGTGAGCATCCCACGCACAAGGGCGGCATACAACATTACCTTCTGGGGCTGCACAGGATCAACTATAGCAGCCTCCTTCGTCTCCTCATCGATGAGGAGATACATGTAGTTGTCCGTGAGGGCTGGGAGCAACTCCACCTTCATGTCGGCTTGGGCAACTGTCTTTGACTTCCTCCGCTCGTGCTCTGTGTGCAGGAAGACGGCTCGCAGCTGTGCTGGACCTGGGGACCCCAAAAACAGTCAAATGTCAGGTCAGCCTAGGGAGGACAACCCATGGGACAGAGCAGAGCAGGTCCCCAAAACCACAGCCCCAGAGAAGGTCATCCACAGCCTGAGGCTGCCTCCTTCGGAGGGAGAGGAAAGAGGCCACGGAGAAATAGAGCAGTTAATGCTTGGCTGCGTTACCCTGCTACCCACAGCGTGGGAAGCTCCTGCTATACTTCACTTCCAGAGACATGCTCGTGCAGGCGAAGCACTGGGCCCCTATTCAAGGGAAGATTTCAAGAGGGAGCAAAGCAGAACAGAGAGGGGACAAATGGACAAAGGTCAGCCTGGAACAGTGCCTTTGAGGGTGGGAGGGGAGAAAAAAAGCACACAAAATGCCATGTTACAAACAAACAAACAAACCAATACTAGAGAAATACAGACACTGACAACACAGAAATATCTGGTTCATTAACTGAGGAATCACACCCTGCACAGGGCCATGGAGAGAAGACAGGCTCTCTGTGCAGAAGCTCCCCACCTGGCTCCCCACCTGGCCAGATACAAGACATGCACCGCAGAGAGGTTTCTTGCTAATGAGTTATCCTGATGCAACAGCAGCACTTTGCTATTTACTTTTGGTTAAATGTTTAATCAGATCCAAGAAGCAAATAACCTAGGGCCCACTTTTTCCACGCTGTTCAGCTCACAGATACATGGTTCTTAGAGAAACATCCAGACAACAAGAGAATCTGCCATAAAAAAAAAAGAAAAAGAAAAGGGAAACAAAGAGAAAGAAGCCCTTCCATTGCTGGAGCCCTGCAACACAGGCCTGAGTCCACGCGCTGGAACGTAAAGTGCCTCAGTCTCTACAAATCAGAAATCATTTTTCCTAACTTCCAAGGCCCACGCACACTGATGAAGGTGACTGCATTATTTTGAATTGTGCTGGCTCAGCTGCTGTTTCATCTTCCACCACCGACTCCAGCCTCAAAGCACCAAGCACTGAGTGTTAGGAAACTTCCGTCAGTGCCAAAGGGAGGGATCACCACGCTCATAATCAACCTGCCCTCCTCTCTCAAAACAGGTCAGTCCTGCCCGCCTCCGATAAGAGACTGCTTTAGAGAGCAGAGGCCTCACACTCTCACTGCAGCCAATACAGACAATCCCCCTACAGTTCCAGAGACTGACACAACACACAGTGCTGCAAAACCAAGATCAAAGTTCTGACTGGTGCATGCAACAACTGCCACAAACCCTGGACACAGGGACAGCGGGGGCTGTGAGTCCCCTCTGGCACATTTATCCCGCCCAGACCCATTTTTCCCCTTCCCCATCCACCACCAACTCACTTGCTTATAATGAAAATGAGGTAAGAGGGGGAGAATGCAAGTAAAATTAAACACAGTACTGCAAATAAAATCCTGAGGCACAACAGTGTAGGCATGCACTGGGTATTGGACATAGAAGGCACGTAGTACTGAAGAAAGCATCCATACCTGCCAAGCGTTCCTTTGGAGCAGGAAAGTCCTTTCAAAAAAAAGAACAAAAAACACAAACCCTTGTCATTCCTTGACAGGGAAAAAAAAAAAAAAAGCAATCGCTCCTCAGCTGCTCCCTAGCACAAAGCACTTTGCTGTTGGGTGCTGTCAGTCACAACAACTGTATATACACTACATGCGTGTTTGCAGGACCAGGCACTAACCGAAAACAAATATATAAACAGAAAAAAAAAAGCCACCTCAACAACTTAAGTTGAAGTCAAAGGAATTATTCATATACTTTAAAAAAAAAAAAACTTTCTTCCTATGAACTATTTCTAATGTTAGCCATGATCCTAAAGTATCTCTGCATGTTTAATTGACATTCTTGCAAAACCAACTACACCACACAGGGAAATGTTTTCTAAAATGCAATTTAAACAGAGTACTGACAAAGCATCCATGAAGTCTGAAACTCATCCTGAATTCCCACCTGTAGCTAAGCTGCACCTTCCCAGCTCTTCCCAATCGAGGAGCAGGTCAAAAGCTCTCTCGGGCACGCACAGCGCTGCTCTTAATGAGAGGAGCAGGTTCTCAGAGCCCGTTCTGCTCAGGGAAGCTGCCCTAGCGGTGGGTGACTCCTGCCCTGGCTCAGCACCTAGCACAGAGACCATTTCAGAAACCCCGTAATGCATGCAAGCCTGTTCTAAAATAAAGTTTAATAACTTCATTTTCACTCAGTTTTGTAATGCACCCTTCCTGACTTCATGCCTGATGCAAAGGCAATTGGGGATAACAGGAGTTTTCCACGGGAAATCAGCAGCCTTTGGATCACGCTTTGGTTTTCTGCAACGGTTCATTAACGCAACTCGGCTCACCAAGAGGAAAGGGTCTGCAGATGGGA